AGAGGACATGGAAATAGGGCCCGCCCTCTGCTATTGAAAACCAGCCCAGCCCTCAACCTGCAGCTCTGGGAGAGGAGCCCTTGCCCCAGCATCCCCAGGTGCTCCCATTTGGTGAACAGAACTGAACGTAAAGACACACTATGGAGTCTGGGCTGAGCTGGGTTTTCTCTGTGTTTCTGTTAAAAAGTAATTAATGGAGAACAAGAGATATTGGGTGTGTGAGTGGATTTGAGTGAGAGAAACAGGGTGTATGTGATAGTTTCCAACCAGGATGTGTCTATGTTTGCAGGTGTCCAGTGTGAGGTGCAGCTGGTGGAGTCTGGGGGAGGCTTGGTCCAGCCTGGGGGGTCCCTGAGACTCTCCTGTGCAGCCTCCAGATTCACCTTCAGCAGCTATGAAATGAATTGGGTCCGCCAGGCTTCACGGAATGGGCCAGAGTGGTTCTCAGCCATTATACCTGTGGTAGCACAGGCTACACAGATGCTGTGAAGGGATGATTCACTATCTCCGGAGAGAACAGCAAGAACTTGCTGTATCTGCAAAAAAACAGTCTGGGAGCCAAGAACACAGCCCTGACCTTCTGTGCAAAAAGCTCAGTGAGGGGACATCAGTGCAAGCCCAGAAAAAAAAAACCTCCTGCGTGAGCGCACGAGGCCGCTAGGGGGTGTGCAGTACACAAAGAGCAGAGTCTGCCTAGGGCAGGTGCAAGTGGAGGGTAACAGCTGGTTTCCTCTCAGTGTCCTGGCTTCCTATCCATAAAAGAATTTTCTCTGGGGAACTTCTCTGAATTTATAAGTCTGTTTCTCTATGCAGTCTCTGAGTTAGACATGTTTATGGTAATGAGAGAAAATATTCTCACCTGTACAAAATGCAGCGAGTGGCTTCCAGTTACTTTGTCCTGTGCCCAAATGTGCATTAATTATCAACCCTTGGGAATCATTCTCAAAATCAATACAACATTATGTTTTGCATGACACAATGCTGCACAGAACACAGAAATGAAAGTTCCTTCTAGTCAGCTAGCAGGGTAAAGTGTTTACGGGACATCAGGGGCAGAGGGAGTCAGCATCCCAAGCAAGACATTGAAGACCATGTGGATGTCTGTGTCCCAGCACCAGGCTCACAACGTAGATTATATCTGACACAATTTAAGGGCAGAGGCACCCCACCAACATTTATTGTAGATGTTGACATTGCTGGCATTAGACACATGCACACATGTACACGCACACGCGCACACACACTAAGTGAACATGGGAAGGTTTAGTCCCTCCACTACTGAGGTATCTGCAGAACACTGCAGGCTCCTCAAGAGAGTCCAAACTGGCTTCATATCACAGTAATGGAGACTGGCTGAGGTTTTCACAACAGTTCCCAGATAGGGCAGGGAGGGGGCTCTCACTTCCAGGAAGGGTCTGGTGAGGTTTGACCTCCAACAGCTATCTCATGAGGAAGCATCTGTGATTCTTCGCTAGAATTCCCACAAGTGGAGCAAACAGGGAAGATGAAAGACATGCCTTCAAATGTCAGTGGGCAGACGTCAGCTAAGAGACTGACACTTCTTTTTTCACTCAGCTACTGGGTTTCAAAACAAGCAAAAAAATAAAAAATAAAAATAAAAAAGTTTAAAAAACATTAAAGGCAGTCAGCAACCAGGTTTGCAGAAAAATAGAAGATAGTTTAGGAGATGATATTAATAATAATTAAGTTGTGTAGGAGGAGAAATTAGACAGGGATCCTGGAAGCATGTCATGAGTGAAAGCTTTTCACTCTTCAAGATCATCAGCTTTTCCTAAAGGTTGTGGGTCAGCTGTGGGCTTCAAAATACCAGAAGCTTCACAGATTCTATGAAAATGCTCACTTTGGCATCGTCTACTGCAGTAGCCAGAAAATACCCAGAGTTCTCAATGGATGCTGTCGTTCTGAAATGTGAACCCAAGAATTGCCTCCCTGTAATTTCACTACTATATTATATTAAAACTCCTTACTGATATTAGTTCTAATGTGGCTAAAGTGAAGTGCTCTGATATTTCTTCTAATATATACAATGTCCTGGTTGAACTTGTTGAGAGACTTTTAAAAAGATGTTGTAAAAGGCAGCCTGCATCTGTGGGTGATATGAGCGGGTATGACACATGGATTTCTTTAAAGTTTTTTTTTTTCTTTCTCTTCCATGCAGTAGGGAGAATGTTAGTACCTGTGGTAAAATCTAAGTGTTTGATCTCTCCAGCT